CAGGCATATAATAGGTACTTAAAACATTTGTTGTTTATTGGATTAATTGATTGTTTAACTGGATTAATTAAATGTACATAGATGTATGTATAGAATATGTACAAAGTCAATATAAGGTCATTGGGGAGGGAACCAGCAGTTATTGGGGGAGGGGGCGGGGAGTGTTGGTGAGAAAAAAGACTTCTGTAGAGAGAGTGCTTAAACAGACCACTAGAGGAAAGGAGGAATTCTGAGACCTAAGACTCTATCAAGTCCTCTTGATTCTACCTTGGCCATGCTTCCTACTCTCTATTCCCATTCCCACTCCCACCGCCCTAATACAATCCTTATTACTTGTTTAGACTGTTGAGATGGCCTCTGGCCAGGTCTTCCCATCTCTTCTCTCTAGCCCTGCCAATCCATCTTTTACCCGGCAGCCAAACTCATCTTTTTCATGTGTAGTTATGGTCACGTCACTCCTCTGATCAAAAATCTCCAGTGGCTGCCTAGCAAGTAAAGATACAATTCCTTTGCCAGGCCTTCAAGGCCCTCCATGATCTGGCCCAATCTTTGCCTTCTCAGCCTTATCTCACATACTACCTTCCACAGAGCCTGCACTCCAACCAAAATGGACCACTCCCTGTGCCCTGAACATGCCCTACCCTTTCCTGTTTCTGTACCTCTGGTCATACAGATCCCTATTCCTGGAATGTTTTCCTTCCACCTTTGCATTTGTTAAATTCCTATCCATCCCTAAAAACCCCTCAAAGTTCACCTTCTATATTCAAGAATCCATCTCTGATGTTTTCTGATCAGCAATAACCTTATTCCCTTGGATGTCACAGAGCACTTTGCTTTCATCTCACTTCATTCAATTCAACAACCATATATTAAAAATCTACATGTAACATACTGTGTTAGGCACAAGGGGTACAAAGACAGCCAGGTAGCAGAGTGGACAGAAGATTGAACTGGGAGTCAAGAGCACCTAAGATCAAATCCTACCTCAGATACTTACTAGCTGTGTGATCCTGGGCAAGTCACTTAATCGCTATCTGCCTCAGTTTCCTCATCTGTAAAATGGAGATAATAGCACCCTATATCACAAGGTTGTTGTGAGAATCAAAAGAGAACGTATGTTAAGTGCTTTGCAAACCTTAAAAGTGCTATATAAATGCTATCATTGTCATCGACTATCGTCACAGTCATCATTGTTGTTGGCAGCTAGGTGGCACAGTGGATATAGTGAAGGGAGTGAGTCAGAAAGACTTATCTTTGTGAGTTTTAATCTAGCCTTAGACACTTACTAATTGTATGACCCTGGAGCCACTTAATCATGTTTGCCTCAGTTTCCTCATCTGTAAAATGAGCTGGAGAAGGAAATGGCAAACTACCCCAGTGTCTTTGCCAAGATAACCTCAAATGGGGTCATGAAGAGTCAGACAGGACTGAAACTACTGAGCATCATCATCATCCTCACAGAGAAAAAAGTGACATAGTCCCTGTCCTTAAGGAGAAATATTTTACTGTTATACTCTCCTGTACTTCTATGAACATAGTAAGCCAGTTCAACTCTCTTGCCTTAGTTTCTCCAAAAATAAGGGACTTAACTTAGATGGTTTCTGAAGTCCCCTCTGGCTCCCAGATCTAGCAGATTGAGAACCTAGGAAGCTCTAAGGGCCTTTCCAGTTCTAAGTCTGACTGTCATTCTGTACCGTATTGACATCATTTGTGTATGCATCCAATTTCCCAATTAGACTCTAAGCTCTAGAAGGAAAGAGACCATTGCTTCCCCCAAACTAAGCTTCAGAGATACTGCCTAAGGGAGAGCACAGGCCTCTCCTTCCCATCAGTGTGTCTTAAATGTGTATTGAGTTGGGCTTCAATGAGTTGTCAGATTGTGCTGCACTTGGAGTAAGAGGTTTTTTTTAATTGTTCTTCAGTTGTGTCCAATTCTTTGTGACTCCATTTGGAGTTTTCTTGGCAAAGATACTAGGATGGTTTGTCATTTCCTTCTCCAGCTGAGAGAAATGATTGTTAATAGCTAATGATTTGGGAAGATTCAGAGTTCTCCCTTTTCTCTATCCTCATTGCAGGACCTCAGTCTCCATAGGTTGAGCTAACCTTTTCCTCCATCCAATCCCACCCAACCTTAGGAGGAATCTCTAGTCTAAGGCGAATTCCGTTCAATCAAGCTTTGGTGGAGACAGATCTTTTTGTCTAAATTGCCCAAGGCTGGGGGTGTTCTGGATATAGAGATAATCTCTCTGTCCAAGGGTAACATGATGTCACTCTCAGCCCCTCGTTGGAGTAAGCCCACTTCTCTTTGTAAAGTCTCATTAATTGTTAGCCAGTCAGGGTTGATTGCCGATCTGGGGAACACCTACTCTTCAAAGGGCATAAAAACTGTAAGCCTGCTGCCATGGATTGTCTTTGATCTAAGAGAGTGAAGGCCAAATGACCATCCTTTTATTAAAATGCTGACATTATTAATAACATTATTAAATTACCCAGAAATTATCTTCCAAAACTTTTAAAACACCACACAGCTCACTTTACAATGAGGAAACTGAGGCAAACAGAGTTTATGTGACTTGCCCAGGATCACACAGCTAGTAGGTGTCTGGATCTGGGTTCAAATCCTGTATGACCTTGGCCAAGTCATTTTATCAATTGGGGCCTCAGTTATCTCATCTGTAAAATGAAGGGGTCGTACAAGATAACCTTTAAGATCCCTTCTAGGGCTAAATCTTTGACACCACTTTAGTAAATTGTGTACTTCTGTCTCAAGAGCCCTGTTACCTGTGGTTATATTGTCTCCCTAACTTCCACACCTTACTGAGAAATCTGCAGACACAGAATTTCACAATTTGTGATATAATGGAAAGTATGTAGGTCTTGGATTCAGGAGAGCTTAGTTTGAAATCCAGTTCAGGCTCTTGATAGGTATATGACCTTCAACAAGTCAGAAAACCTCTAAATCTTTCCTAATCTGTAAAATGGGAACAATAATATTTGTTCTATCAACCTCACTGTGTTGCTGTAAGAAATTGCCATATACATGGGGGCATTGAGCGATAGTAGAAAAACACATGGAGTCTAGGGGGATTGAATGTGGGTTCAAATCCCATTTCTGCCACTTACTACCTTTGCAAACTTTGGCAAAAATGATTTACCTCTCTTAGACTCAACTCTGTCATCCATAAAATGAAGAGGTTAAACTAGTTGACTTGTAAGGTGGTGTCCAGCTCTCTATTTATGATCTGAAGCTTGTTGTTGTAGGAGCAGTGCAATACCTCAGAACAAGCCCTGCCTTTAGCATGAAAAGACGACACTTAGGATAACACATGCTGTTCAACAAAGTGGCCACTTTATCCCTTTGCTTCAATTTTCTCATCTGCGTGACGAAGATAATAGTGCTTGTATTACTGGCTTCACAGGGCTGGAGTGAAGATCAGACTAGATCGTTTCAAGCTGGGCCCTTTTATGAAGTGTAAAGCATGTTGCGTATGTCAGCTTTTTTTATGGAGAGGATTTACAAAAGGACATGGATAAGTCACACAGGATGGGCAGGCAAAGACGGGCTGCCATCCGCGTCACTGGAGGGATTTCCTGTCCACATTGACGAGATCACAGACTCATTGAAGTTCTAGAGTACGCTTAGGAGTCTTGAACTGCCTAATGGCAACATTAGTCGTGGTTCACACTTCAGCTTATAGTCTTACATAGGGATATGAGTATTTAGACATTCTCTCTATTTCTGTCCATTTAAAAAATACTTCACAATGGTCTTGTGAGGATTAAAATATTATGTATAAAATTATCATTTAAAAAGACTCTCTGAAGTGAAGGAATAATAAAGGCGAAGAAATAAAAGCTTGTATGTAAGCATAGAGTTAATTCTACCATTTGTTAGTGGCTCTTCACAATAAAACTGTGTATATTTTGTAACAACTAACCTTTGGACATGTTGCTTTCTCCCACCCCCTCTTTCCACCATGGTAGAATAAAAGCTCCATTAGGTCAATGACTGTTAACCGATGCTTAGCACGATGCCTTACACAAAATAGATGTTTAATAAATGCTTAAAATCATAGGATCATATATCATAATATTAGAGCTAGAGGAACCTAAAAGGCCATCCAGTCCAACTCCCACAATTTGTAGATAAGGAAACTGAGGCTCAAAGTAGGTTTTTTGTGATGAAATAAAATGCAATTATTGCATGTAAATTTTTTAGTTAAAAGACAAAACAAAACAAAAACCCCAAAACTGAAACAAAAAACTGTGGTTATATATTTTAGGAGACATCCCAATCTAGAGATATTCTTAACCAACAAGAATAATAAAGGGACTGGTATGTTCTATACATAATGGCAGTGGACAAGGGAAGTAGAGTTGACCTCTGAGGTCCCTTCCAAATTGTGATTCCATAAGCCTGAAGATTTATGTATCCTTCTGTTTATTACCTGCCTTTAAAAGATGACTAGAGCACTGGCTCATTGGATCCTTCTTAATTCAAGTACCAGAACAACTTATTGTTTTAATTGTATTCCTCTTACAGTTTTGTCTTTCCCCATTAGAATATAACACCTTGAGGGTTAGGAACTGTTTGGCATATGGCAAGTGCTTAATATATTCTCCCTCCCCATACGTATGTATGTATGTATGTATGTATGTGTCTATCTGTCTGTTGAAAACCACTTACTTGCCTATGATAAACTGCTATCTTTTCAGCTTTAAGAGAAATGAATGACTAGCCATTCCTTTTCTAATACTTATTGGCCTCTTGATTGGAAATTAGCTAAATTCAGAGAGGTTCATCACCAGAAGATTGACTGCCAGATAATAGCTGCCATTTTGAGACCACAGCAACTCATAATTACTATCTACTAAGGCGTAGGGCATTGGCCGTTTGCATCAATGGTGGCAGTACTCATATCCTTTTAAGATCAAACATCTCTTAAAGACCTGAATAAGTGCTCCCCAAAGTGATGTATCAAGATTCTATGAGTTAGTACATGGCAGATGAACAGTTGCTGTTTGGGAGCTCTTGCCCATTGCTGTGTGAAGTTGGGACGTCTACAGAGAACAATGAGAGCAGTGGCTGCAGGAACTCTTCATCTGAAAAAGCATCAGAAGATACTGGCCAGGCAGGTCAACAGCATATGGCTTGGTTTAATCCACACACCTACTCATACATCAACTGAGCATGGCAAGTAATCAATAACTATTCACCTCAGCCTCTTGATACTTGCCCTAGTAATGAATTATTCCTGCCTGAACTCCAGACCTTGCCTGTCACTAGTTCCCCTTCTGAATTTTGTGATATTTCTTGGTTTCAACTCTATATCTGCTTAACAAACCACTTTCTACCTCTAGTCATTTCAGTAACACAACTTGTCACCAATTTTCTGAGTATTGCTCATTCTCACTGCATTTCTGACCCTTGGACAAAAGGATCCTAGTTAAAGCCCTCAAGAGACCCTGCCTAGAACTGGCTTATTTGCCTCTAAGACAAAAAAAAAAGTCTTCTCCATTTGTCACACTCAGTTTGTCCGTGGGTGCATGTGTATCTTACCATCTAGCTGCATGTGGCATTTTAGGAAGAACATTAATGGCCTGGAGGGGGCCTAGAGGAGGATGACCAGGATGCCAAGAAGATTCAAGTTCATGCCATATGGTTGGTTGAAGACACTAGGTGTATTGACCTGAAGAAGAAAAGGCTTAAGGGTCCATGACACATGTTTTCAACAATATAAAGAACCTCCTCGAGAGATTAGACACATTTTGTTTGAGTTTGAGGGCAGAACTAGGAACAATGAGTAGAACCTGCAAAGAGACAGATTTAGATTTGACATCACGAAAAACTGCCCAATAATTCAAGTTATTCAATTGGCCACCCTGAGAAGGAGAGGGTGACTCCTCAGTTGAGGTCTACAATAAGCAGGGGGTAGATGATGACTTGTAAAAGTGTTGTGCTGGCATGAGTTGGACTAGATTGATGAGATGCCTTCTGACCTTAAGATTCTATAATTCTTCTAGAAGTCCTTTGAGTTCCACAGCCCCTGGAATAGCTGTCTTCATTGTTCTCCATGATGATGACTGGGTCCATGTGGGTTCTCTAGTTGTCATTAGCCAAGGCCTCCTTTTCTTCCTTTTTAATTGCACTGAACACCAGTGGGTGGACAAGGCAGTAAGTAGCCTTACTTTTAAATGCATTCTAAATATGATTCAATGACTTAGATACCTCAGGAAGCCAGAAATTAGGAAAAAAAGGGAAAAAACCCAACTAACTGTCCTTGAAAGTTATCACAGCCACTCTCTTAAAATCAATGCTTCCTAGAGAAATACGCTCAGTTCCATAAACAAACACAAACCCTTGCTTCCAAGTAAGTATTTATATTTTCTCTGCAGCCTTGAGTAAAAGCACTGAAATGAGAATCAATAAGAATTATTCCAAAGAGCAAATACATCAATTCACAAAAAAAATTTTGACTTCAGAAAAGGCATATTTTTTTAAATCAAAACGTTTATATTCTTATATCATTTTGCTGAAGAAAATTTGATTGTGAGACTTATTAAAATAGTTTGTATTTCATGAAGGACCATCTTACACTGGAAAGTTGTAATTGGTCAGAGGGGCTGGAAATAACTCTCGGAGATTATTTAGGTTTTGTATTTCAATTCACTGAAATTATTTAAAAGGTTTTGCAGTCATCATTGATACCATATCTTCCTTTCTGTTTATAGTCATTTTACTGTTTTTCAAGGCAATGTACTTGGAAAGGTTTTTGTTGTTGTTTGTTTGTTTCTTGGTGTTTGCTACAATTCATCTTTTGTGTGAAAATGAAATGGATCAAAAAAAAATTTTAAGTAATGTGTCTTGACTAGAGATTGATCAAATTCTGGAACAGGAACTTAATGGGATTTTATTACACTAAAGGAATGATGAATATGATGAATACAGAGAACCATGGGAAGAAATACAAACTGTTGCAAAGTGGAAGAAAAACCAGTAAAAAATACAATACAAAATATACAATCACTACAACAAAGAAAATAGAAAGAACAATAACAAAATATTTGAAACTAAATGCTATAAAATTGTAATGATCAGGGGCAGCTAGGTGGCACAGTGGATAGAGCACCAGCCCTGGATTCAGGAGGACCTGAGTTCAAATCTGGCCTCAGACAGATAACACTTAGTAGCTGTGTGACCCTGGATAAGTCACTCAACCCCATTGCCTAACCCTCCCCGCCTCCAAATTGTAATGATCAAACTTTTTCCCAAAGAAGTGATATATTAGACCACCTCCTTTCCTCCTTTCCAGAGATGGGGTACTGTGTATTACACTGCATATAATGTTGGGCTTAATTAATGTGCTCGGTAGTTTTGCTGAACTATTTTCCTCCTCTTTTTTATTCTTTTTCAAAAGGTATTGTTCTCTAGGAGGGAGAAGACATTTCTTAAGAAATGTAGATGGTGTAAAAATGAAAGAGATTAAAAAAGATTTTTTAAAGGAATGACCACATAACATTGTCAGGAACTAGGTTTAAAAATGAAATTTACCTTCCCTTTCTTTTACTCCAGTAATCTTCAAAGTAAAACAGGGTAGAAAAAGAATAATTTGAAGCAGAGAAGAAGCCAGGACTTTAAAAATAAACTCAAATGCTATGTCTTAGATTGATTTCTTAGGGCCAAAAATGACAGCTGATAGCAGAGCAATATCTGTTACAAAGTCAAGTAAGGGAAAAAACTCCTTTTTATTTCAAAAATAGCTGTGCATCAATGAGTGACTAAACTTAGGCTAATTACAGCAGTATCATTGTGTTCTCACTTAAGTCTTGATAGTTATATCTCAAAAAAAAGGAAGGAAAAAACCCACTCTTGATTGACAAGCTACATGGAAAGCATCGATAAAGCTTAGGGGAAATGAAGTGCCCAGGAAGCTGGCCTTCTCCTAAGGTTTTTTTTTTTAATTGAAACTATTCAGCAAGTATCAGGAGGTAAAAGCCTTTTCAAAGCAAGGGTGACTTGTCTTGTACCTTGTAGTTTGACAGATGTTTACCCTCTCTGGCAAAGTTAGGGGAGGTCATGGACAGGATGGGCAGAAGTAGATGAGTGAAAATCTGCCTTGTCAAAGGGAACTAGAATTTGAGAGCAAGGGTCCATTTGAGCATTTAAGTAATTAAGTACAAGTTAGGAAACAAGTAGAAAGTTGTCAGTTTTCTGGAGAATCTGGGACATGCAGAAAATGTTCAGAATAATTCAGGTCTTTAAATGGCTTTTAGGTCCCAAATTGCCTGAACTTCAACTTCAGAACTTAAAATGGCAAACATTTTCTTCCCTATTCCTCAACCAATTATCCAGCACAGGAGGACACTGATACCAACTAAAATATTAGGGCCTCTATGTCCCAAATCATTTATTAAATTCAGGAAACACTAAGTACCTTCCATTTACAAGCCCCAGTTTGAGTTGGTGACACAAAGCCGATAAATGCCAGTTCCTGTCTTTAAGGAGTTTATGATCTAGTAGGGGGAAAGATATGTATAAAAAGTGCAATATGATACGGATCTCATAGGAAAGGTGAAACAGACTTTCACAAGAGGTTTGAAGAGGGAGTGGTTACTTCTAACTGGGCAGGATCAAGAAAGTCTTCCTGGAGGAGGTGGTATCTGGGTTGGGTCTTGAAGGAAGGAAAGGAAGGATTTCAACAGGGAGAAATGTGGGGGGAAATCTAATTCAGACATGGGGAACAGAATACACAAAAGGATGGAAGCAGGAGGGAGCAGGACAGAGCTTCAAACAGCAAGTAATAGAATGTAGTTGGGACTGAGAGAAGGGGAAGAGTCTGGCCTAACACTGTAAAGGGAGAATAGATCGTGACAATGGAGGGTTTTGAATGCCAGGTTAAAGAATAGATATTGTATTTGGTAGAAAATGGGGAGCTCTAAATGTTTTGAACAGCCAGCTTTCACTAGGCAAGCACCATCTTGCTTTATGGTCCATAGACCCGGACTGAGTAAGAGCACAAAAAAAGAACTTCCTGATTTTCCAACTGACCTAACCTGTTCTTCCTAGTTTGCTGTGACCCAGAGAGAAGTTGTTTCCCTCTTGCTATTAAAGAGGATGGAACTATTCTAGGTGGTGACTTTTCTTCACATGGCAGTGATGAAAATTCCCTTGAAAGGAAAACTCTTTCCTTAAGAATTTCCCAGTGGAATCAGAATGGCCCAGCTCCTTTTTTCTTCCCTTCTCTGCAATTATTTCTAAATTAATTGCTTCTGGCCTACTTCATGTTATTCATTTCTGTAGTGATTGCATTATCACCAGAAATGAGTTTCCTCCTTCTATTGTTAGAAAAACCTTCACAAAATATTCTTTAAACTTTCTGCTTCCTCTTCATTCTTTTTTGCAGGGAAACATTTTATTCAAATTCTTCCCTCCTGGGAATCCTCTTGGGTTTCATGACATTTCTTCAGGGGAAAAAAAAAATAAAGGAACATTCTTGGAGAAAGTTTTGAATGTAGAAAAAAGGGCTGTGACTGGAAATTGTGTCTGTGTCATTGATTTCTTTCTAGATGTGTGCACTTAGTACTTAGAGTGATAAGGCACTTGTCGAATGGCAATTAATCAGAAGCAACAATAAATTAGATGCATTCTTTCAGGCACCCAGCGAAACTACCCCACCTCCACCCCACTCCCCTAACCAGAACCCAGGACTGTTTCCCTTAAGTGGGGATTTATTTGCACTGTGGCTTAGTAGCCCTTGTTACCAGTTAAATGCAGTCAAAAGGCCAATTTTGAAGTGGGTGACTCCAAATCACAAGTGTAAGGAATGAGGGGAAAAGGAGAAATAGGGTGGTTTGTATATTATTTAAGATAGAAATATCAAAATAGGATGATTCATCCATGGGCACTGTCCTTTTAGTCTAGACTGCTGAAAAGTGTAAGCATGATTTCAGGTCTTACTGGAAAGAAGACAGTGTCCTATCTTATCTCCACCCATTTTGAACATTAATTGGAGATCCAGGATGTAAAAAGGAAAGATATGGTTCCTCCTCACTTTTCTCCTCTCCTCCCTCTCCCTCTCATCACCTCTCTTTTCTTCTCTCTTCTCTTCTCCTCTCTTCTCCCGTTACTTCTCTCTCATTTACTTTTTTTAACCT